TGAGAACAGTGTCGACACTTAGTGGGGACTATGTGATTGTTTAATAAAAGGGACAGCAAAATGACTGGCTTAGCAAATTCCCGGGATAACTGCGTCTTAAAATGTCCCAAGGGGTTCTCATCTAGTTAGTCTCCCAGCTGGGGGCAAAACCTACAAACTGAAAGGCGTCAAGAGGACAGACTGAGTTAACCTGACTCTATGGGCCTCGGTTTTCTATCTGTAAGATGAAGATCATAACTGCGCCTACATCATGGAGCTGTTATGAGGATCAAACTGCACGTAAAGCGCTTTGAATGCAGTAGCTACTAATAAGCGCTGCAATGAAGGGCAGGCAGCCAGCCCCTATTTCCTTCTGAGAGCTGAATCTGCACCATCCCTTGCCCACCCTGACGCGAAAGGCTGGCACTGCAAGGCAAGAACGAGGAGTGTGTACATCGATCCTTTCCCTGTGAAGGAAAATGAACGCCAGACAGCAGGCCTGGCCCAGCCGCGAGCACCCGGCCCTCGCCCCGCCCCTCGGGGCTCCCAGCGCGACCACCGCTAGAGGGCGCGGCGAGAGGCGCGAAGGGCAGCGGGTACCCGCCGAGCTGCCCGGGGCCGGGGCGCTGAAGCCGAGGACAGCTGGAGCCGAGGCTCGAAGGTCCGGGACGCCGCGGGCCGGGAGGTGTGTGGTGAGGGGCAGCCCCCTGCCCACCGACGTACTTGCTGCCCCTGCGCGGGGACGAGGGTGTCGCGGAGAGGTGGGTAGGAGAGGCAGCGGACTGAGCCTTGACTCGCCGGGTCCATCGCGGGCCTCGAGCCTCGGTCTCCGCCTCCGTGGGGACTCGTGGACAAGGCGTACATGCCCACGGAGTCGGGGGAGGGGCATTTCAAGGGAAGGAAGAAAAATCAGCCGGGCCATCGGCAGGGGACCCCGAAATCCGTCGTGCCTCACGCGGTGACTCCCTGGACGCGCAGATTCAGCTAGAGAAAACTGGGAAGAAACCTGGAGGATTCAGACCTCAGGTCCGGGCTCAGGCCCGAGGTTCCTGCCTGAAGCTGCACACGGCTTCTCTCCAGCAGTCTCACGTCGGACCTTCCTAGGCCGGGGTGCATATAACACGCGGTGGAAAACTTGGGGGCCCGATGTCCGCTGACCAAGCGAAACAAAGTCGACACCGTTAATCAGATTTTTCGAGTTGATTTTGGCCATAGAAATTTGAGAGGGAAATTTCCCATTCCTCCCCACCGTCCGATGTCCACGGTGCGTCCAACTGCCAGGCGCCAGCAAATGACCCGGACTCTGAAGTCATGTCCTCAGAGGCGGAACAGAGAACGCTTAAGGACGCCCCATGGGAACGGAGCTGCTCCCGGCCCGGTCCGACGGAGATTCAGAGACTCGTCCAGGATACGTTGCCTGGGTTCCCAGCCTTCACCACCTGCGCTGGACGCCGGGCGCCCTGCTAACTCGGCCGCGAAGCCCCACCGACCAAGGACTGCTCTGCCCAGGTCCAGGCCGCGAGACGCGCCACGCCTTGGGCCACCCAAACCCATCCTTTCCTGAAGCCGACCTCCAGGCTTCGGGCTGCAGGCTGTTTGGGGCCCTCCCCCTGCCCCAAGGCTCCCAGCGTAGGGCCGGGCACGGGAGGGAAAGCGCCCAGGACGTGGAGGGGGCTTGTTTCTACGACGCCTTAGCTTCGAAACCAGACTCGGAAAACCCCGATTTCCAGTCCCAAAATGATTCCTTTGTTGGGGACACCCTCGCCCCAGCCCCCGGTGGCAAGGACTCTGGGTCTCTTACTAGGCCTGCTCTAACCGCAGCCGGGACCCGGATTCTAGTTTCCTCTTTTAAGTCTGAGAATTAGTCTCTCCCCGAGTCCCCGCTGTCCGGAAGGTGGGGGAGGAGGGTAAGGAGGCTGACGGCCCAAAGCAGTGGCGGGGGAGGCAAGGATGGATGCCCTCGGGACTACCAGCTGCCTCCTTCCCGGGCTCTAAATGGAAGTCATCTCCCACGAACATACGCCCATTCCCGAGGGCACTGAGGACCAAGAACTCGGCTTCGCAGGTCTGGTGGGGGCCAGGAGGATCGCCCACTCCGGCGTCCTCCCAGAACAGACGAGGCGGCACTGAGACGTTACAAGCTCTTCTAGGTGTGCGCTTCTGACGTGGGTTCAAGCGGAGGGTAAGGGTCTAAACTGAGCAGCTGCGAGCGTTCAGCATAAGCGCAGTCCCAGGGCGCCCTCTCTTCCTTCCCCCACCCCCTCACGCAGCCTTCAGCCAGGATGCCAGGCCTTTGAAAAATGCTCTCCTGCAGGTCTCCGCCATCCCTGGACCTGCAGCCTGCACACCCTCCCCTGCATGGCCCCAGGCACACTGACCGCCCCTTCCAAGAAGCCTCGGGGTTGCGCGCGGCCTGTAAATCTACTCATCTGTAAAATGGGAATAATAATAGAACCTCCCTCAGAGCATTGTTGTGGGAAACAAACCAGTTAATGAACGTAGAGCGCTTAACAGCCTGGCACGTACTGTAAGTGCTCAAGACGAAGTTATAAATAACGATCATGGCTTTCGCTGGTAGCAAACTCCACGTTTAATCTTCAACAAATGGTCAAACACTGATGTCAGGAAGGTATTTCCAACACCCAAGACATTGATTAAGAAACAGACCTAGAGAGGGGCATTAACTTGCCCAGGGAGGTTCAAATGGGCGGAGCCAGCTGCATTCGCACCCAAGGCTTTTTCTCTCCTCCGCTGAAGGAGGCTGAGAGGGGTCCAGGCACGCGCAGGCGACCCCGCGTTCCCTAGAAGGCCTGGAGAAGTGAGTCCTTGATCAAACGACCAAAAATAGCAACCGGTAGGAGCCGAGACCCGAAGCCCTGAGCCAACCGGCCGTAGAGAAGAAAACCGGCCGAGGTCAGGCAGGGATGCCGGGGGTCGCACGGGGGCCGGGCCGGACCCACGTGCGCCGCCCGCCGCTGCTTCGCCAAGCCCTTTGTCGCGAGCAGCCGCGTTCGTGCCTCACTCGGCGGCTTAAAATAAAGACAATGTTCCCAGCCTCCCTGCGGCTAAATCCGGCGCGGGTGCGGGGGCGGTGACAGCGCCGGGTGGGAGAGCTACTCCTGGCCCTACCTCCCTTCTCCCTTCCTGCCTCAGTTTCCCCATTTGCCAAGGGGACCTGGCCAGGTCTGGGCGGAGAAGAGTCGTACAGTCGGGGGGCGGCATACCCTTACCTCCGCGGCCGCACGGACTTAACAGAGGAAACCGCTTGGGCCCGAAAGGGGCACTCCAGAGGACGCACGGGAGAGCTGGACACCCTCCTCTCCCGCTTGCAAAATAAGGGTTTTTATTCTAAAGGGACGTGTGCAGAGGCGGTGGGAGAAGAGAAAAGGGAGACCAAGGAGATTGGGGGAAGGGGGCAAGGGAAGAGCCTGATTCAGACTCGGAAATGGATGTTGAGCGTGGAGGCCTGACACCCCCACATTCAGCCACGTGTACGCGCACAAGCGCACACACAGCCCCACAGCGCGAACAAACCTCAAGCCAAGGACAGTCCAGCAAGGGGCAGCCCAGTCCACGCCCAGAGTCAGGGAGTGGTCGACCTCTGACCCACCCTTGAACCAGCCGGCTGACCCTGGAGTGGGAGGGAGCTGCTCAGGTTCATCTTCAAGCTGCAGTGTCTCCTCGACTTCGGAAGGGAGGTGGACGGCCTCTGGCCTCAGCGGGCTCTGGGAAGCAGAGATGCCCCCACATGTACCTGCCACATGCGCTCACCGCTGATCCCGTGGCTTCTGGTCAAGCCTCAGGGACTCCAGGCTCTGGTCCACCTCGCTCCACTGGCAAGTGGGGTCCAGCTTGAGAAAGCCCAGGATTACCTACCAAGCGTCAGGATTGAGAGGGGGTGCCTACTGGGGAAATGGGCAGGGGGAAAGTGAGGTGCAGGTCCCCACCCTTGACCAGACTCCAGAGCCCTGGGCTTAGCACCAAGGATCTGAGTCCAAACACCTGCCCACCACATATTAATCATGCCTCTGCTCTTTGGTTTTCTCATCTATCTAATGGGGGGCAACAGATGACCCCAGCCCTTCCTACCCTCCATCCCAGGGCTTCAGCATGGCCCAGTGGGGAGAAGGACACGGCAGCCCTGCAGTACCCTCCCCACCCCTCCTCTGTGGCCAGCTCCCCAGGAGGTGTCTAAGGCCAGCTGAGGGCTATGCAGGACCGACATCTCTATGGCAAAGGGCCCCCAGGGGTTCTAACTCTGAGGCAACTCAACACAGACGACCAGCCTGGCAGGGTGGGGGAGTCGGGGGGGGCACTAGCCCAGCAAGGGAGCCGAGGCATGTGGGGAGGAAGGGCAGGTTCATCACTTCCCAGGTACACACCTGTAAGCCCTGAGTGGGAGTCAAGGGAGACACAGTTTGACAAGCTGGGAGGAGAGCTGTCTGTCTGTCTGTCTCCCAAGTGGAAGCTGGGGGTGGAGCAAGCAGGGAGGTAGAGGCTGCCTCACTTGTCAGAATTAGCAAGTCCCACAGTTGGGCAACACACAGACACACGCTAAATACAGACACACGTGTACACACCCTTCTTGGCTCCAGACCAGCAGGGTGACACCTGTATTTACACAGGCTGCATAGTGAACATGGGTGCTCAGGGACACACATGTGCAGGGCACTCAGCAGCCCGTGGCTTGAGCACATAGTCCCCCACTCATGCCCAAAACTCAGACACCTGTATACCCTCACACCCAGGCTACTCAGCCTGGACAGACGCAAGAGCACACAGCCCGGCGCATGGGCTCGTCTGCTTAGCCCCCAGGGCGGGTGCACCAGCCCTCTGGGTCCATTCCAAGTTGGAGCCTCTCACGTGAGGCTCAATGTGTCATTTCCAAACAGAAGGAATCTAGCTCCATTGCAGCAGGGAGGAAGAGCAGGGAGTGGGGCTGGGTGGGTGGGTGGGTGGGCACGTGGGCATGTGCAGGGGACAGGGCATGTGTGTGAGGGAAAGAGGCAATGTGCATACCGGGGCGAGTGTGTTGGGGCGTGATGCACTCGGGTTGGGGGTTCTAAGGTTGGGTGGGGGAAGGAGATTGGGGAAACAGAGTGTGCCTTTGTGAGGGCGTGTGAGTGTGTGTGTGAGTGTGTGTGTGTGTGCGCCGCTGAGTCTGTGTGCAGTGGGTGTGGGTGTTTGTCTCTCTGTATCCGCCTTCTCTCCCGTTCTGGACTTCTAGCCTCCTAGGCTCATCTTCCTCATCTCTGACTCCCTCCCTCTTGGGCCTGGAACTGAGTGCCCTGCTGGAGGAGGGGGCCACGCTCCAGGACCTGGTCCAAACTGAGACGCGGCCTGAGGCTTCCCTCCAGCTCCCCCTCCCTTCCTTTCCTCCCTTCCTTCCCTCCCTCTCTTTCCCTTCCTCCCTCCCCCCCACCCGGGCTGGCGTGCCAGGGGGTGGGACATGCCAATCACTGACTGTGCCTCTCCGGCTGCCAGCACAGGGCGCAGCTCCCCCCCAGAGCCAGGTGTTCAGGTCCCTGGAGACACCGCCAGCCCCCGTGGAGGCCGTGGGGCTGAGGACCCTACAGACCCCTCTCCGACCCCATGGTGAGTACATTTACGAGGGTTTGGGAGGGGCTTCTCCAAAGTGGGGGCAGGAGAAGCAGGGTCCTGGGGGCAAGACAGGGACCAGGACTAGAAGGAAATGAGGATGGACCCCAGAGAAAGGAAGGGCCAGGGAGGGGTCTAATGGCCAAGGGGTCTCTGTAGCACTGGACATTGACTGCTCTAAACACCCCACCTTCCAGCTTTGAATAGATAGACCTGTTGTTTTACTGGGGTTCACCTAGCAGAGGAGATGGAGACCTCCATAGAAAACTGGACCCAGAGCCCAGAGGGAATTAGGTTACCATATAGCAGGCCGAGGGCCCAGAACCCCAGAAACAGAGTGGGAAGGGCAGGGAGACAGAGGCAGCCCTTGCCACCAGCACCCTGTGGGAGGTTGAGCCCCCCAAATTGGGATGCCAGTCCCAAAACCTCCTCCTCTCCTCCCTCAGGGAACCCTGAATCCCACCACCCCCATCCACCTTCAGCCCCACCAAGATGGACTGAACCAGGCTGCTGGCCAAATGGACAAGCCGGATGCCAAGGTGGGTGTCAGGCCAGAAGCCAGCAAGGGACCAGGCCAAGAGCCCCAGGGGTCTCTCCAGGGACAAATGGCACATGGACGACCATGGTGGCCAGGGAATGTGGCCCTGTGGGTACGGGGGCCCAGAGGCCCCTCCCTATGTCTGTAGTATCTTGGGCTCCTGCAGGGCAGGTCTCAGTCCTATATCTAGGTAGTGCATGGATACTAACAAGCACCCATGCCAGGTACCCATTCTAGTACCCCTCCAGACTCCACAGTGTGGGGATGGGCTGGAGGCCAGGAATTCTGATTCCTATAGAGCTATAGAGCGGCCAGCTCCTGGGCTGGCAGCTGGGGGTGGGGGGTGGTCAGCTCTCATTGCGTTACTCAGACAAATGCTGCGTGGGGTTATCAGTGCTGTGGAGAGGGGTTCACCTCTTCCCACAAAACATACCTGTGGCTCCACCCAGACTAACCCAGGACCACCACTACCCACCCCACCCCCACCGCAACTGGCCGGAAGGAGTCAGACTGTCTCCTGCAGCTGGACAGCCTCTTGTCCCTGCGTAATCAGCTGCTCACTGGGCTGTCAGATGAGAGTTAGTTCTTTGCTCCCTGACCTCAACCACTAGGCAAGCTGTGATCACTGCCATGATCCAGAAGGCAGGGGAGGAGATGGTGAATGCCACTGCATGCAGGAGAGGCGGCTCTCAGCTCCTTGGGTGGGGCCTGGAGGTCTGAGAACTGGATCCCAAAGTACCAAGAGGAGTCCAGAGTGTCAAGAAGGGGTTAGGCAGAGGTCACATCAGACCTGGAAAGGAGAAAGGAACCTCCCCTTATACAGATTGAGAGACTGAGGCTGACAAAGGGAACAGGACATGCTCATGGTCACAGAAGAGGTATTTAGGGGTCCAGCTGGGCTCAGTCCCCATCCCCATTCTCCTCACCCCCAGCACGGTGCTGTGCCCCCACCCCCCTGAGCAGGTTGACCGGGTGGGGGAGCAGCTGGCTCTATGAGGCAGGAACTTGACTCCAGAGGGCGGGTGGGGAAAGGTGGGTGAATAGCGAGCTGGGTTTCTGCTCGACTGTGATGCCATGGTGATGCCTAGAAGGATGGGGGAGGGAGGGAGAGAGAAGAAAGGAAATGGGGAGGGGAGCGCAAGGAGTGGAGAGCAGGGGGCATGCGGAGCTGAGGATGAGGCGCAAAGCGCTGGCTGCCAGGGGCCCCACGCAGAGTGTGGTCTAGGGCGCAGCCTGCTAACGGCCAGGCTCCTGCGCGGTCCAGCTAAAGTCAGGCAACTGGTTAAAGTCCATCAACAGTGGGTGTATTTGGCAGTGGTTCTAGAGCCGACACTCCTCTTCCGGCTCAGCAGTTCATTTATGAGCGTTTAACCGATGGCTGCTGCCCTCCCCAGGACTAGGTGGCACTCCCAGTGGTGACTGTTGAGCCTGAAAAAGTTACCAGTTGCATTTGTTTACCCCCCTTGCCAGGCATCACAGGTGGAGTTCTGTACACCTTGAGTGGGTCAAGAGCTACCTCCAGAGAGAAGTTAAGCCCGGGGGAAGAGAGCCACCTCTGACAGGCTGGCTTCCAGGTTAAGGCCCCCGCAGAAGGGACCCGGCAGGAGACCCAGCAGCAGAACACCCTGCACACTGCCCATGTGAGGCCCCAGTGCCCAGCCCCACTGCCCCCACCTCGTACCTCCTTCTCCCCAGTAGTGCCCATTCTCCAGTCCAGGTTCTGCCAGGCCCAGAATCACAGGATGGCTCCTCTCATCCCTCCTGTATCTCTTCCCCAGCACTCCTCATGCTCTGACCCCCCTTCTCCACGCCTTGGCCAGTGGTAAGAGTCAGAAAGCCTCGTGTTCCAGAATCCCTCTCCCCAGCCACCTCCCGGCCTCCCCCCTTCCTCCCACCGGCCAGATCCCCAGCCCCCAGGGATTGGTCCAGGGCCCTGGCGGTCAAGAGTCTGGCCTGCGTGCTAGAGGCTCTGACCTCATCCCTTAACTCTTTGAGCCCAGGCTGGCTTTTTCCTCCCCCATCACTGATGGGCGCCACCCAAGGCCCCTCCCTGGCCCCTCACCTCTCTCAGCTTCTCAGCAGCAGGTGAGATAGGGTTGCTTTATCTATTTACGGAGGAGGATGCTCTCGACCATTTTCCTCTTGTGCTCTCAAGCCAGTCAGAGGACCGGGCCTGGTATATGAGGGGCTGTGGGAACTAGAGAGGGCAGAGGGACCGTGCTGCCACAACAGGCTAATTCCTCATGGCCCTGTCCCTAAAGGCAAGCAGGAGGACGCCATGGACACATTCATGTGTTTATTCTACAAATGTTTATAGAGCAACTATTATGTGCCAAGCCCTGGGACAAAGCAGTGAATGAGGCAGACACAGCCCCTACCCTGCCTCTCAGAGAGCTGCAGCTAGGGCTCCCGCTTCCCACCAATGTCACCATACATCACACAGAGAGATGACAGACACTCTCACAGTCAGGCCACATTCTAAAGGAAAGACTGATTCCTCACCATTGCCTATTCATCTACAGTTTGGCAAGCTAGTTGAGGTGGGCAAGGAGGCTGTTGGGCCCCCCACCTCCACAAGAGCAGTTTGGAGTAGGGGCCCAAGAGGTTACACTTGAAGGAAGACTGCCTGGGTGCAAATCCTAGTTGCATAGCTGATGAGCTATAAGGTCTTCAAAGTCTGAAAGCCTCAATTGCCCCTTTTGCAAACTGAGGATAATAGAACCTATTTCCAAGGAGTTGTAACAGGTCCATTAAGTCGTGCCTGTAATGCTTGGAGCCATGTCTGGTATATAGAAAGCAATCAGTAATTATCAATTGCTATGATAATATTAATAATATTATTAAAAGCCCCCAGTAACCTTCATCAGGAAGCCACAGTCGCAGGCAGAAAAGCATCTCCCTGCTCCCTTGCCACCTTCCCAGACCCCTCAGACGATGAGTCCCAACCCAGTCCCACAAAGGTATGAACTCACCCCAGCCCTTTCTTACCCTCACTCAGCAGTGCACGCACCCTCACACGCAGACAGCCTGCAGAAGGGTCACCAGGTTGGGACAGTTGCTTGCCCAAGGCCACTCAGTGAGGCAAGAGCAGAGACAGGCCTTGAAGCCAGGCAGAGGCAGTGCCAAGGGCCTCCTTGGGGAGGCTTCCTCCACCCCTCTGCAATCCTCATAGACCAGCTGTCCCACCTCCGGTATGTTTTCTCAGAAGATGCTATCCAAATACAGCGCCAAGCCCCCTTTCCTACTGATGGCTGCCCCTAAGCCCCACCTTTGTAGAAATTCTGGAGCTGCTGCCAAACCCTGGCACCCTGACTCAGTCCAGGGGAATCAGCCACAATCACAGGAAGCCCAGCTCTTTCACAACCATCATCTTGCTGACCCCTCAGCAGCCTTGAACAAACAGAGGATTTCCCCCAGCCAAGAATTAAGGGGATTGTCCAAGATGACACAGCAGGGACCAGAGCAGGCTTCCGGGAAACTTCTCCTGAGCAGAATGCCATCTGAGAGAGGCTTGGGGAGGCCCCCCACGTCTGACTGTGGAGGAGAGGCCGTCATTGCTGGCTCTGTTCATGGGCTACATCCCACGGGCTCCAAAGGTCCAGCAGGTGGCAAGAATCAAGTTCCCCAGAACCTCTGCCCTTCTCCTTCCCCAGGCATCCCAGATGGGGGGCCTTAGCACTCACAGCTCATGAGTGGGACATACAGGGGCTGGCCAAGTGGCAAGCACACAGGCCCACTGCTTCCTGCAAAACCATCAGGGAATCACTTAGCCCTGAGCCTCAGTTTCTTCAACTCTGAAACAAAGGTCAGGACTCCCACACTGGGGTGTCCTCTCAATTAAACAAAATGATATCACACATCAAGTGCCTGCCACACAGGAGGTAACTAATTGTGGTGGTTATCAATATGGTTATTAAAATGAGAGGATGGAAGGGACTTCCAGCCATTAAGGAGGGAGATTGCCAGCCTCTTCACTTCCAAGGACCACTTCTTGTAGGTCCCCCATTCTGAAAGCCTTTTTATTTCATCAAAGCTCTAGCTAGCTTCCTGCAAGAGCTTGTGATAGGCAGAGGTTGCCATGTTCCCTCCATGAGTAGATGTCATTCCAACCCCAGCTGAGAGAACGTAGGTGAGCCTTCAGCCTCTGCAGCCTTGCCTCAAGGACTTGCACCCTTTCTGTTCAGAGTCAGATGTTGATTTCAGGCCCTGTAAAATCTCCCCAGACTCCAGGCTGGTCCATCTCCTCCACTGTACAAAGAAGCCAGCTGGGGACCAGGGAGGGGCTGTGCCTGGGGTCTGAGGGGGAAGGGCACAGTGAGAAGTGTCTGGGCTGTGGATCAGAATGAGGGGTCAGGAATAAGAAGAGAGAGGTGCTTAGGATGCTATTATCCCCAGCAGCTGGGGGATGCGGGGTGGCTGGGGAAGGAAAGGTAATTGCTGATGGTCACACAGCTAGGAAGGGACAGCTTTGCAATTCATACCCAGGGCTGTGGTCCACAATGTAAAATTTAAAGGGGACATACATACACACACAAAAAAAAAAAAACTCACTAATCAAGATAAACATATTGTAATGTAATTTTTTAAAAATTCAAATTGGCAAACTATGGCCCTCGGGCTGACTATCAGTTTTTGTAAATAAAATTTCATTGGAGCAAACTGCTTGGGCTCAAATCCTGGTTCCTACCTTATCTGTGTGATCTTGTGCAAATTCTCATGCTCTTCTCAGCCTCAGCTTCTCCATCTGTAAAATGCAGAGAAGAACGATCTCTAGGGCATAGTACCCTGTTAAGATTGAATCTGATAATGCACATAAGCTGCTGGCACTCAGGAAGCACTAAATAACAACAATGATCACTATTATTATTAGTTGCTGTCATAATATTAAAAAGTTTTCATCAAAGAAGCAGCCGTTCACAGACAGGAGGGAGCCCTCACTGCTGCGCATGCTGAGAGTCAATGGGAGCCTCATGTTCACCAGGTGCCAGGGTTGTTCCAGGTGCTCTACATCTATTGACTCATTTAAGCCTCACAATAATTCCTTGATTGATTAGCTAGGGACTAGGTTTTCCCACTTCTTCAGTTGAGGAAACTGAGGCACACAGCAGTGACATCACTAGCAGAAATCACACACCCAGTAAGTGGTGTCACCTGGATTCAAATGCAGACAGTCTGGCCCAAGTCCAGGTCTTTCCACTGAGATGTGACACCTGCCCCATCATGTGCAATCCGTCCCAGACACACAAGCACCTCCTGACAGTTCTCGCTCCTGCTGTCACACTGTGAACTGCCTGCCCTGAGAGTTGCTCTCATACACCAACAGTTTAGACAAGCAACGGAGGTGCCCTCAGCCACACACACTCTGGGCACACGCCATCACAGCCACACACCACTGAGGCTATGTGTCACACATTGAACCCCTCACCGGCACAGGGCATAGTCTTTTTCTCACAGACCAGGTCCCAAGGACCCAGACCAGGGCATGGTGGGCTCTTCCCAACATCTCTCCGTGGAATTTATCCAACACTACAGCCCCTCAAGCCACAGCTGCAGGTAGGAAGAGACCCCAATCTCTTCAATGGACAGACAAATGCCTGAGGCCCAGAACAGAAGGACCAGCCCAAACACACAGCTGGGAGGCCACGGCTGAGCTGTGGGGCCAGGTAGGTTGCTAACAGTCCTGGCTCTTCCCATACCCACCCTTAGTGCCAGCTTTGAGAAAAGCCTGGAGGATCTTCCCATTCCCCTTGCTGCCTCCCCACTCAGCTTGGGCCTGGGAACAGAATGGGGAGACAGAGAGGGCCTCCCACACTCCATCTGGGCTAGACCCCCACTTATCTGGGAGCTGAGGCCCTCGCCCCCATTATCTGCTTTCACTGCAGACCTTCTACCATCAGGCAAGTGAACAGACTCTGCACAGCTTTCCCTGCTGCCCTCAGACAGGGTCTGATCCAGCTCCAAACACTGCCCTCTTTTCTCTCTCTGTCTCCCAAACATATGCAGAGAAAAATGTGCAGACACGTACTCACAGATATCTCTTTCCCCTTATCTTCCCTAGAGTCCTCCCCTGCCTCCCCATCTCTCCTAATTTGATGGAAGTATCCCCCTGGAGCTCCACATGCCCAGAGAGAGGGAGGGAAATGGGTTCTACTCATGCTCACCACCTGTGTCACTGTGGCCAGGCCTGTTGCTGCCCAGAGCCACAGTTACATCAGTGAAAATGGGGCTCATAAGTGACTTTCCTTCTAGAGACATACAACAGTCAAATTAGATAATTCAGTTAAGTGCTTAGCACTGTGCCTCCAGGTAGTAACTACTCAGTAAATGAGAGCTCTAATAAATTGAGTGAAATGCTTTGAAATTTGGGCAGTATTGTATACAAAGCGAGTCTCCTAACTCCTGGCATATGAGCTAAGCAAGACAGGAATTAGGAGCAATTTCCCAATGAGAAAATTGAGGCTCAGAGTCCGAACGGTGAAGCTGGAATGAGGACTCAGATCGCTGGATTCCAAAGACCCCCTTCACCCCCATGCTGCTGGCAAATCTGGTCATGGCAAATCTGGGAAAGTGCATTATAAAAGACTGGTGTGTGTGGCCCCCGGGAAGGGAGGGGGATGATGTCTTGCTGAAGCTCTGAGAGGGCAAAGGCTGTCTTCCCAGCACCCTCCGCTCTGGCTATCAGAGATGACCAGCAGCCCAACCAAAGGCCATGTCCTCTCTTTTCAGGTGATGACTTTCCCCTGACGAAGCCCTGTAGTGTAACTAGAGGAAGGGACTGTCCCTCCAGTCCCACCTGGCCGCCATGAATACCTCGGCACCCCCTGCCGTCAGCCCCAACATCACCGTTCTGGCCCCAGGAAAGGGTCCCTGGCAAGTGGCCTTCATTGGGATCACCACGGGCCTGCTGTCACTGGCCACAGTGACAGGTAACCTGCTGGTGCTCATCTCCTTCAAGGTCAACACGGAGCTCAAGACAGTCAACAACTACTTCCTGCTCAGCCTGGCCTGTGCCGACCTCATCATCGGCACCTTCTCCATGAACCTCTACACCACGTACCTGCTTATGGGCCACTGGGCTCTGGGCACACTGGCCTGCGACCTCTGGCTGGCTCTGGACTACGTGGCCAGCAACGCCTCCGTCATGAACCTGCTGCTTATCAGCTTTGACCGCTACTTCTCCGTGACCCGGCCCCTGAGCTACCGCGCCAAGCGCACGCCCCGCCGGGCAGCCCTGATGATCGGCCTGGCCTGGCTGGTCTCGTTCGTTCTCTGGGCGCCCGCCATCCTCTTCTGGCAGTACCTGGTAGGGGAGCGGACGGTGTTGGCCGGGCAGTGCTACATCCAGTTCCTCTCCCAGCCCATCATCACCTTTGGCACGGCCATGGCCGCCTTCTACCTCCCCGTCACGGTCATGTGCACACTGTACTGGCGCATCTACCGGGAGACGGAGAACCGGGCCCGGGAGCTGGCCGCCCTGCAGGGCTGCGAGACGCCGGGTCAGGGCGGGGGCAGTAGTAGCAGCTCCGAGCGGTCCCAGCCGGGGGCCGAGGGCTCCCCGGGGACTCCCCCAGGGCGCTGCTGTCGCTGTTGCCGGGCCCCCAAGCTCCTCCAGGCCTACAGCTGGAAAGAGGACGAGGAGGAGGAGGAAGGCTCCATGGAGTCCCTCACATCCTCGGAGGGGGAGGAGCCTGGCTCCGAGGTGGTGATCAAGATGCCTATGGTGGACCCCGAGGTGCAGGCGCAGGCCCCGGCCAAGCAGCCGCCCCGGAGCTCCCCAAATACAGTCAAGAGGCCAACCCGGAAAGGGCGCGATCGGGCGGGCAAGGGCCAGAAGCCCCGTGGGAAGGAGCAGCTGGCCAAGAGGAAGACCTTCTCACTGGTGAAGGAGAAGAAGGCGGCTCGGACCCTGAGCGCCATCCTTCTGGCATTCATCCTCACCTGGACACCGTACAACATCATGGTACTGGTGTCCACTTTCTGCAAGGACTGTGTTCCCGGGGCCCTGTGGGAGCTGGGCTACTGGCTGTGCTACGTCAACAGCACCATCAACCCTATGTGCTACGCACTCTGCAACAAAGCCTTCCGGGACACCTTCCGCCTGCTGCTGCTCTGCCGCTGGGACAAGCGTCGCTGGCGCAAAATCCCCAAGCGCCCTGGCTCTGTGCACCGCACCCCCTCCCGCCAATGCTGATGGCCCCTCACCTGCATCCCTCCACCCCAGTCCCTGGGAGAGCCGGGCAGAAAGGCGGCAGGGACTGTGACCTCGGACCCCGGGCCCTGCAGAGTCCTCACCAAGCCTCCCAGGCCTCTAGGTCACCTTCCTGGACAGCCCAGAGAGACCCTGCCAACTTTCCAAACTTTGCTATTCCCAGGCAGGGAGTGGACCTGGGGAACTGGTTTTTCCGTTCCTACTGGGTGGGAATGGGCTCTTCACCAGGGAGAAAGCTAGGGGAGGAGGTCCAGCCTTTGGATTCCTTGTCTGAGTTTTGGCAGGAAGTCTGTTGGGAGCCAGCAGGGCGGGCGGGGAGAAAGTTTTAACGTTTCAGTCATCCTTGGCCAGGACTGGCCTGGATTGCGGTGGGAGATGGCTCCCCCTAGCGCCACAGCAGGACACTGACACTAACCACGGAGAGGAAAGCTGGGCTCAAAGGGGGAGGAGCATCGCGGCCCCAGTCCCTCCACAGGCATAGCCCACTCTTCTGGGTCCTTGGCCCACCATCCAGGGGTTTCTAGCCTCCGTACAAATGTCCCCAAGAGCGTCCCAATGTGGACGATCCCCAAGGCAAATGTCCAAACATCAGCAGGACAATGACACCATGATGGACCAGCTAGTCACACATCAAGTCCAAGGCAGCAGCAGGACTAGGCGCCAGGTGTCCTGACCATCCCACTACGTCGTTTCCCTGGGAGTGGGGGCGTGGTGCCTGCTGCCCAGCTGCACACCTACAGCCCTGCCCCAGAGAAACCCTCAGTCCTTCCCTCCCTGGTGTATAGCCTCCACCTGGGTAGATCTGCTGCCTGCAGATTTGGCTAGGTCTTCGCATGCTGCCTGCCTCTGGCCCTGCCTCACACAGGCCCGGCCCAGCCAACAGGTTCTCTCCTGTGAGCTCCTAAATCCAACCCGTGCATGGCCTCCCAGCCACCCTCATCTCCAGGCCCAGCCTGGACCCAGATGTTCTTTCCCTCCTACCTCAGCAAGTGCTGAGTCTGTGAATAAAGCCACATAACCAACGGGTGCTACAGGACCTTCTTCCCTATGTTGGATCAAGGACCTGGTCTTAGGCCAGGGCAGGATGGGGCAGGATGGGGCAGGGAGGGTCAAGTACTGCGATAGGTGAGCCACTGCCCGAGGGTCTTCCCAGGGGGGAAACACTGAGCAGCTGGATCTACTGGGTCCTGTGGGCCCCTGTGCTGCAGGGCCCCTGGCTCGGGTGAGTAGGACTGTAACGGGCAGACCTGGCTACGGGAAGTAGGGGGCTAGGAGAAGTAAACTGCCCCTGCACATAGCCCAGCATATTTGCTATCAGCTTTGCCATAGGAGGCCTTGTCATGTCCATGGAGAACAGAACTGCTCCAAAGCCCCATTTACAGATGAGGAGACTAAGGCCCAGGGACCCAGGAGGATTGTTCAGGACAGTTCAAGGTTACCCCACAAAGTAACAGCCAGGCTTCCAGGCAGTTCTCAGTCTCCTGACCCTTGGATTGTGGACCCAGGCCAAAAAAGCACTCCATAAAGGTGACTCTCAGGCCAGGTTATAAGGCACATCATTGGTGTGGGAGCCTCAAAGCCTAAAGCAAAGGAAATCTAGAGAGGTTAATCCCACTGTATAGGGTAATGGCTGTCAAGTGGGGGTCAAAGCTCAAATCAGGAATGGAACAAGCACTTCACACTTGTCCCTTGTTCCGAGCACAGGTCCTACCCGCCATGGCCCCTCACCACACTGTCTTAGACGAGGCACTTATTCTCAGTGTCCTCTTCTCTGAAAGGGGAATGAGCCCTGGAGGAAGAGTTGAGAGGATGAGACAGACCATAAGGAAAGCCCCTCGGTGTCTCTCTCATCAGCGTTACCGCAGGACAAGGCTGCTCAAAGGTAAAAGCCAGAAACCAAGTCTAGCTTCAGACCCATACCTTTCCCTACACCCCCAACTTGGGCTTTAAAGAGTCTAGAGTTCCATCCCCCAACCCTGGGAGAAGAAACAGGGTATAGAGAAGGGGGGTTCAGGGAGCAAGTCTGGGTGGGGGACGGTGTGCAATCCAGGAAGGCCTCTCAGAGGTGGGATCTGCGCCCTGCAAGCCTCTGAAACAAAACTGCAGCAGATCCAGCTGACAGAAGGAGGAGGAAATGGCTTGAGCCCTATGGGAGAGGGTGGCAGGACAGGGCATCCGTCCACCCTAAACACCCTCCCGCCCCGAGGGAGTCCTTCTTGGCCCCAGAAACAAGGGCTGTTTCGGTGCCTGAACAGAAGTAGGGAAAGAATGAGGCGGCTTTGTGAGTACCTCCTCCTCTCTCTACCAGGTTGGAGCAGGCCTAGAGAAGGGGCACCAGTTAGGGGTCCCTCTCCTCCCGCCTGCCCCTGCCAGCCCCCTGTATTCCCCTCCTATCACTTTAGCACTGTCTTCGGGCAATCGAGGGAATAGCCCTGCCAAGAAACGGTGCTTAGAGCCTGCCTGGCCTGCCTCCTTGCGAACAGGACCTCAGGACAGATGATAGAGTCGATGGCTCCTGCCCCCACACCTCGGCAGGAGCCCAAGGCCCCAGAAGGATCGGCTCCCTTGGCTACTGCTGCTGTCAACCTGCAGAGGCAAGCCCTGCCCCTCTCCGTTTGCCAACCTCACCAGACAGCTAGATGGAAGAGGGCAGACTGGGCATGTAGGGACAACCCCACCACCTCTGGGTGCCTCCTCCAGGCCTTTTGAAATCCTCAGTTTCATTTCTTAGAGCCTGGCTCTGATTTTACAGAACTGATGTTGATCCAGCTGGACATTCAGACAGGTACCAGCTCACCTTTACAGCACGAAAGGCTTTTGAACGCCAGGTGCCCCATACCAGCCTCGGGCTCTAAAGCGTTTGAGGGGATGTGTTTATTCTCAGCATGTTTGGTAACACACACAAACCACGTAACTCCAGGCATCAAACCATCACACAAAAGAGGCCAGAAAACTACTGTCACTCTTCCCTCCGGCCCTGTGTTCCCCTGCCCAGCAGTTACTCTCCCTCTGGGCATCCTGGCCTGGCTAGTCCACTGTTCACCCAGAGCTCAACCCAGAGATCCAGGAATCGTCTTAGCCCCCTCCTTGTCTTCACTCCTCAAACGCAGTCAGTCTACCCTCCTGAATAGTTGACAAATACACAGTGTTCTCCATCCCCATGGTTACTATCCTCGTCTGAAACACTAGAATAGCCCTTAATCCGGGGGTTAGCAAACTTTTTTTAAAGGGCCAGACAGTAAATACTTCAGGTTCTGTGGGCCAAGAGGCAACATGAAGGATATTACATAGGTACTTAATGTCTTATATTACCTTGTATCACAACTCTTCAACCCTGCCATTGTAGGCAAAGCAGCCATAAACAATACATAAGTGAATGAACATGGCTGTGTCCAATAAAACTTTGAATTGCACTAAGACTTGAATGTCATATGACTTTGACATGTCACAAAATATTCTTCTTTTGATTTGTTTTTCAGTGTTTAAAAATGCAAAACCCATTCTTAGCTCACAGTGGGCCCACCAGCTGTCATTTGCTAACCTCTACCTTAATTGGTCCCATTCCTGTCCATTCGCCATTCTTTAGCCAAAGTGATTTCACCAAAACATAGATCTGATGCTGTCAGTCCCCTGCTAACTACTAGCCCATGGCCTGAGATAAAAATGCAGGCTGCTTAGCCTCCAGCAGCCTTCTATTCAGCCCTGCTTAAATAGTGTAGGTGACCTCTCACACCACCGATCCTAGTCCCACCCTATGGAATTCTTGGGGTGCTCGCACAGGCCTCAAGTCCACTCCATGCTTTTAAATCCTCCAGTTCCTCTGCCTGGAATATTCTTGTCCTACTAACAGGAAAAGAACTCTACTCACTAAATTTCTGACTCCAGATGTTTTGGGGGTGGTTTTTTTTCCACACCAACAAATTCTCCAATACCAGCTGGGTGTCCAAAAATTCAATTCTGATACTATCTAAATGGAGTTAATGTCAGACCCCACAGTTTAACAGCTCGGTGCCACAGGACTGCCCCCACTTCAGACACCAGTTGTAAGTAGTGGGTCCTGAGGTGGGTTACCCACGCTTCTGTCTGATTTGGCTACAACTTGAGGGTTCCCACAACCCCCTCCTCAGGTTCAATGCTTTGTTCACAGAGCCCAGGGAAAAACATTAACTGGTTATGTAAAGGATATGATAAAGGACGCAGATGAAGGGGCACACAGGACAGGGACAGGGAGGGTCCCACGCCTCGGAGCTTCTGTACCCATGGAGTTGGTGTGCATCACCCTCCCAGCCCATGGATGTGTTCACCAAACTGGAAGCTCCCGGAACCCCCTACTTTAGGGATTTTTGTGGCAGCTTCATCATGTAGGAATGATAAATTATAAACTCAGTTGCTAGCCCCTCTTACCTTTCTGGAGGATGAGGGGTGGGGCTAGAAAGTCCAAGCATCTAATGATGGCCTGGTCTTTCTGATGACCACCCCCACCATGAAGCTATCCAGGAGCCACCAAGAGCCCCCTCATTAGAAGATACCCCTATCTGTCTCCCAGGAAATTCCAAGGGATTCAGGAGCTCTGTGTCAGGAACTGGGATCAGGGATCAAAGACCAAACACTGGAACAGAAGATGCTCCTAACACCCTTATTACTCAGGACATTATAAAGCAAGCATTTGGGAGCCCCAGTGTGTGAACTTGAACAAATCACTCCATTATTCCAAGCCTCAGTTTCCTCATCTGTAAAAAGGATAATCATGCTGAGCTGTCACACATTGAACTTCCCTTCCCCAGCACCTGTGGCCTCCACCTTCCCTTTCTCTGCTCCTGTGCCTCTGCCCAGCCAAGCGCAGGGGGTGCACACGTAGACCATGGCCCCTCAGGATCAGTAAAGTACCAGGGACATTGTCTGTGACATAGTAGACATTAAAGGATCATTATTATATTACATTTTTGCTGTCTTGGGCAACTGGGAACCAGACAGGAAGCCCATCAGCTTCTCTGACTCCTGTTTTCTTCCCCTCTGACTGAGGACAAACTCTCTTTGTGACTCTTGAAAATCCCTCAGGATGGATGTTATTATCTCCATCTGTGACTTCCTAAGAAATAGATATTTGGTCTTTGTCCCCAGTTCCTAACACTGAGCTTCTAAACCCTTGGACTTCTAGAGGGAGAGAGAGAGCATCCTGTCCTTCACAATAGGCCCCTTACAACTACACCTGAGTTTATGGAAATGAGATGAGATTTTGCAGGGGAAGTGGGGGTGCTAGATAGCATCAGGATGGGCGCTGGTTGCCAGAGGAACCAACTGGGCGAATTGGGGGTTGGAACTTGCAGCCCCACCCCTGACCTGGGGGAAGAAGAGCTGCAGGTTAAGTCAATCACTAATGGCCAACGATTTAATTCATCATGCCTACATAATGGAACCTCCATAAAACTCCTGAATGATGGAGTTTGGGGTTCAGAGAGCTTCCAGGCTGGGGAACACAACAGGGTGATGGGAGGCTGTTGTGCGCCCACAGGGTGTGGAAACCCTGTGTGCACCTTTGCTCCCTCAAACTTTGCCCCATTCGTCTCTTCCATCTGTCTGCTCCAGAATTGCATCCTTTGTAATAAACTGGCAACAGTAAGGCCCTTTCCTGAGTTCTGGGCATGGTCCTGGAGAACTCTCGAACCTGAGGAGAGCATTATGGGAACCCCCTGCATTTATTTATGGCCAGTCGGACAGTAGTACTGTTGTCAGGAAATCCAATCCAGGGGGATCTCCTGGCACTCCAGGTGGGACCTCAACCCAGGAAAGGGTTCGTGACTTTGACGGAGAAAGAATTCACAAGCAGGTCAAGCAGGTACAACCAAAGAGTAGTTGAATAAAGCAAAAGTACACACTCAAGGAGGGGGCTCAGGCTGGGTGGCCTTATAGCTGGAGTCTGAGCAGGGGGTGGAATATTCATCAGTGTTTTCTGGGAATAGGCAGGGGATTTCCAGGAAATAGGGTGGACTCCCTCTTTTTGTCCTTAAATGGTCTGCCTCCCAACTGTCAC